CACAGCATCAGGAGCAGAACTAAACTTTTATTCCCAACAATCTTCTTTTAAAGCTTTCTCCCATGCAAGGGAGGGATTCACATTAATCAGTACAGTATCCAATAGTGTGACTGTTACCTCCCACACATGTCCCCCTCTCAGTGTGACACAATCCACTTGTCCATATTGTAGTTTTACCCGGTTTCTGGATGTACCCCAAAACAGTCAGCTAGAATTATATACTCAGTACCCCCTGGTAGCCCTGATCTGGGTGACTAACATATTCAAAATTCACCCAGATTGAACCAGGGGTTCGGGAGTTAGATGGAAGGTGAAATTTGACTGACCGCACACGAGGTACTATCCGAAAAAGGCTCCATGTGTTTTGGCCATGCGGTTGGTCTCTGTTCGGGAGTTAAAATACATTGGAATGCTTGCCATCCACAGCTAATCTTACATTCGTATTAATTCCCTTGTTCGGGACATTGATTTCATCGAACGAGGGGCTGCTTGGCCCCTCCGTTCGGGAGTTACGGAGCTCTGGAGGTCTCAGCGGTGTTCGGTTATTTGAGTGTCCGATTTGAGTTCCAGACACTCGACAACCAAACACCGCTGAGATTTTCTTGCGTAAGATGGCCGCCGCCACGTGGTTCGTATGCCGAACGGTGACCACACAGATACATATAAAGTAGCGATTTCACGGTCAATTAGGATGCGGTTACAGAGTGTGAAAGCTTAATGAGGTGCACACTTCTCGCTGCGGTGGTCGGATGGTTCGATAATTTCATTCGTATTAAAAACGGAATGAAGACTACTTGAACAATCAGACGAAAGCTATATACAATACTTCTACACATAGCAATAATTACACGAAATACATTTGTAACACGAATCCTTGAGGACAGCCCATTGCCATCCGCTACAATTTGTAACTGTAATTTATTTTATTTTTAACTTTAAGGGGTTTAGAGTGGAGTAGAGGGGCAGAGACAGTGTCAGCCAGTGATTTCACATCACTGGCTGACACACAGGATCAGTGATCACAGTGACTGGCTGTCACTGTGATCACCTCCTGCAGATCGCGGTAATTGGCCACAGGGGGAGTGGGGATGGGGGGATCCTGCCTGCTGTTACATGTGTCAGCCAATAGGCTGACACATAGTAACTCTGATCGCAGTGACAGGCTGATCAGATCGCAGAGACAGCCTGTCACTGCGATCAAGCTGAGCACATCGCTGTCACTGCCTGCAGGGGGACTGCCTGAGGGGCCAGGCATGTCCCCTGACCGCGATCTGCAGCAGAAAATGCTGCAGCTCCATGTGTCAGACGATTTCAAAATCTGCTGACGCATGGTAAATACCGATCGCAGTGACAGCCTGTCACTGCGATCAGAGGCTGCAGACCAACGTCACTGGGCACAGGGGGGCTGCCTGGGGGGCATGCCCCCCAACCGCGATCTGCAGCGGGGTAATGCCGCCGGCCACGTGGGCGGCAAGACCGCCCAGGACGTTCTATGCCGTCCTGCAGCGTTTAGAGCCAGCCCTAACTTTTAAAGTTAGTTACATTGGATTAAAAATGAAACTATTTTGTTGTCATTCAGGTTGTGTCAATCACAGCAAAGGGAGGTTTGGCTAGGGCTGCATAAACAGAAACAAAAGTGATTTAACTCCTAAATGGCAGTGAATTGAGCAATAAAACTACAGAGACATGATCTATACACCCAAACTGCTTCATTAAGCTAAAGTTGTTTTGGTGACTATAGTGTCCTTCTAAGGAAAGAATTCTCCCCCCTTTGCTCCTCCCTTTCGCAACCACACATCAACCGTACCTTCCCTACCCTACAGGCCTTTTCCCCAGCTACAGAGTAGGAGGTGGTTTTGCTTCTCACCACCTGTGTGCTTGATCCAGTACCTTCACACCTTATCAGATCTCTCTCCCCCTGTCTTGTACACATCCTAAACTGCACTTTTTCATCTGGTGTTGTCCCTGCTGCCATTAAGCATGCTACTGTCTTATCCATCCTTACCGGACCTCTCCCCTGCTGTCCTACAACGTGTCACCAATTACCTTTCTTCTATCTCTGATTGGATGTCCTCCTGCTTTCTGAAGCTCAATCTCTCTAAAACTGAGTTTCTTATTTTTCCTCCTCATAACACTGATCCTCCTCCACTCTCCCTACAAGTTGACGGTACCTGCCTCACCTCATTCTTTCAGGCTTGCTATCTTGATGTCATTTTTTATCCTGGCCTCACCTTTGCACCTCATATACAGTCTGCTGCTAAAACCTGTCGATTCCAGCTTAAAACCATTGCCCACATCCTCCCCTTTCTTACACAAGATGCTGCCAAGGAGCTTTTTCATGTTCTATTAATCTCTCTTACAGCATGGATTACTGTAATTCTCTCCTAATTGGTCTCCCCAGAAGCCGTACTGCCCCCTACAATCTGTGATGAGCTGCCAGGCTGATCTTTCTCTCCTGTCGCTCCTCTCACACCTCACCCCTCTGTCAATCCTTACACTGGCTTCCTGTACCCTAAATATTAACCCTAACCAACTCTAGCCCCTCTTACATTTCCTCACTGATTCATAGGTATGTCCCCTCTCGGTCTCTCTGCTCTACTGGTGACCTTCTCCTGTCTGCTGTTCGCACCCTTACTGCAAGTTCTGTAGGACTTCTCACGGGCGACTCCTTTCCTTTGGAACAGCCTGCCTACCCCTGTCAGACTTTCCCCTAGTCTTCAATCCTTTAAGAAGTCCCTCAAAACCCATCTTTTCAGGAATGCTTATGGCCTCCAAGAGTAACTTTAATCTCTGAAACCTTCCTCTTGCTCTCTCCTATAGGGCCACACTCCACTCTCACCTCCAATTCTGCTACTTTCCCACCATGTCTATTTTCTGTCTCCCTCAATACCCTTCCTATTGTGTTTTTATACCCCACCTCCTCTAGACTGTAAGCTCGTCTGAGCAGGATCCTCATCTACCTATTGTTCCTGTTACATTTTGTTATGGTCTCATTTGGTAAATTCCCCGCTTATTGTAAAGCGCTGAGGAATAAGCTGGCGCTATATAAATAAAATAATAACCACATAAAGAGCAAATTCCTTGTGTTTACATTTTATTTTGATCACAACTTGTACAATTGGCTCCATCTTTAAGGGGTTAAAATTCAGCAGTGTGTGAGAGTTGCCAGAATTCAGCATTCTGTGTGAGAGTTGCCAGAATTCAGCATTCTGTGTGAGAGTTGCCAGAATTCAGCAGTGTGTGTGTGAGAGTTGCCAGAATTCAGCAGTGTGTGTGTGAGTACCAGACTTCAGCAGTGTGTGTGTGTGTGAGTGCCAGAATTCAGCAGTGTGTGTGTGAGAGTTGCCAGAATTCAGCAGTGTGTGTGTGAGAGTTGCCAGAATTCAGCATTGTGTGTGTGAGTGCCAGAATTCAGCAGTGTGTGTGTGAGAGTTGCCAGAATTCAGCATTGTGTGTGAGAGTGCCAGAATTCAGCATTGTGTGTGTAAGAGTTGCCAGAATTCAGCAGTGTGTGTGTGAGAGTTGCCAGAATTCAGCAGTGTGTGTGTAAGAGTTGCCAGAATTCAGCATTGTGTGTGAGAGTGCCAGAATTCAGCAGTGTGTGTGTGAGAGTTGCCAGAATTCAGCAGTGTGTGTGTGAGAGTTGCCAGAATTCAGCATTCTGTGTGTGAGAGTTGCCAGAATTCAGCAGTGTGTGTGTGTGAGAGTTGCCAGAATTCAGCAGTGTGTGTGTGTGAGAGTTGCCAGAATTCAGCATTCTGTGTGTGTGAGAGTTGCCAGAATTCAGCATTCTGTGTGTGAGAGTTGCCAGAATTCAGCAGTGTGTGAGAGAGTTGCTCCTTGCTTGTCTCTGGGTTCAGATAAATGATCCAGTATAGATATAAGGTGTAAATGGTGAGGATTGTTCTAAGATCAATCCAGCAGAGGGTGACCTAACACCAGTCTGGTAACTCCAAGCCTCCTGTGCTCCATGTAAATGTTACAGGAGTCAATTTCCTATTGATGCAGATTGTTTAATGAGCTAGAGCTGTGACTGTGTATTAGCATATAATGAACCCATATCCTGTGTAATTAGTCTGAACAATCAGCAGGTAATCTGTTCACTGTCGCCCCCTGCTGGCAGTTTGTCCTAATTCCACTAGCAATGAACAGAGAAAGCCTGGCACTTCAGCAGGCTGGGCCCCAAGGCTTACAATTTACCCTGGTGAACACAGCAGGATCTGCTACAGTGTAACTATATGTCGTTAATACCTGACAAGTTCATGGCTGAATTTTACATAGAAATAAAAAAACCAAAACACAATAATCATTAAACAACATGTAAATAGTTACCACCTGTCTCGCATTCCATTGAGTAAATAGTGAATGATACCTTAATCTCTAATACTGATCTGATTGTACAATGTATGTAGGTTGCTGGGAGATATATATTCTGCCAAGGATGGGGTTTAATATTATTATTTACTAAACTGACAATTGTACAGGTGCAGTGCGTGAAAGGGGGGCAGTTTTGAGAATGCAACGTTTGCGAGAGAGGTGAATTGTGTGAAAGGGGTGCACTGTGTGAGAGGGGGGCAGTTTATGATAGGGGTGCACTGTGTGAGAGGAGGGCAGTTTATGATAGTGGTGCACTGTGTGAAAGGGGTGCAGTTTATAATATGGGGTGCAGTTTATGATATGGGGTGCACTGTGTGAGAGGAGGGCAGTTTATGATAGGGGTGCACTGTGTGAGAGG